GCTCTTCGGGATTTGAGCGATAGCCTCAACCTCCTTTTCTTGTTTTCTCGCTTACCCCGTTTGCCACAATTCCACCCTGCCCTTATTTCTCTTTGCCGGCGATTCTGCGTGGAGTTTCTTCATTATGTAATCGCCACACGCGCAGTTCGAAAGGTTTTTAGGTCGTTTTATTTTACTCAGGTATCTTAGGCTTTCATCAGCATAAAAGGATTCTATGTTGAAGCTGTGATTGATGAGGTTTCGGTAGTTTGGGTAATTCCACACCAGTCGGCCACACACACTCCCACTGATGTGGATTACAGACTACTTGCAACGTGTGTGGAGTTCGACGCCACACTCTTAGGCTCTCTTTTATGCAAGTGAGTCTGCCTGTCAATCTCGTGATTTTTAGTCTTTATAAACATTCTGGTCTCCTTTATCCACCAAGGCTTACAACACCGACTATTCCAGATCCGGAGTCCGCATACTGTGCTCCGTCAGATACTCAGTTTGAGGTAATGCATGATGTATTTTGCAACAGGTTTTGTAGTTTCTTTCATCCCTTTCGTTCCCTCTCAAAAGACTAGAGGACAGTACACAGGAGTCATCGTACCCGGATGATCTCGTTGAACTGCAGGTCCGTATTTAGACTTGTTTTCTGTTATTTCTTTTATGAAACTACTGCCTATTCGACAATATGTAATGTTTGATAGTCAGAATAGGTAGTTAACTGCATGCTTCAAATACGCCTTTAAGTAAAATTTGTTGACATCCCCCACCTCTTTTCATAACACTGTCTGAACAACGTCCCTGCTAGGGGTCCACTGCCTATACTAGATTTACGACGTCAGTTATTGATTCCACAGCCCGATTTTCTGTCCTTTGCAAAGCCTTTGACTATGAATATTTTGACGGTTGAAGGGAGTTGCTGAAGGTCAAGTATGGGTGATTAGCCTACTGTTTATGCACTTCTTTTCAGACCATCGATGATTCGGTGACAGCCGCCGTGAAGAAGCAAGCCGACACTGAACGAATCAAACACCTCTTCGAAAACAAACGCTTCTTCTTAAACCGCGAAGTCCCGAAAGAAGTCCTTACCGTGCTCATTAGGTCCTGTGGCGGTGAGTGTTCTTGGGACGTATCCTCAGGGCCCGGGTCTACTTTTCTTGAAGACGATGTGCGGATTAACTACCAGGTCGTTGACCGGCCAATGAAAGAAATGAGTGCCAACCGGTAAATGATATTCTTGGATTCTAATCCCGTTGCTCCTTTGTATTCCATCGAGGTTCCACAGCACCACCATAAACCTATACCGAGCCTTTTTGATTTCGTTGATTTTAGCGTGAGTGAAGGTTACCGGTAACAACGGTTGGTCGATGTGGAAACGGTGTTGGTGAACTAAGCAAGGCAGAATGACTTCGACTTTTTGGTTAGGGGTTTATGACTCAAATATATGTTGTCATGAAATCGTACAACAGCAGTAGCACAGCAGTACCACAACAGTGGTAGCCTTTTGACATATCATTTATTTGTAATCTTCTCTTGCCATTGTGAACTACTAGTGATAAGCCACCAGGGACACATACAAGGCTTTTTACAATAAAGTCTTGTAGGGTCCTACCGCTCAGTCAGCTCCAGTCACCTATAAGGTTATTGATTTTTTCAGAATTCACGTCCAATAATCTGACAAAACTGACACAACGAGGCCGGTAAATTTGATACCCATGTTCACTTTCAGTAAGTGCGCACTTCCGCCTACCATGCTCTGCACCTTAAAGAGTCTACCTGCATATGTTTTCGGGCTGCCTTCTAGGCGTTTTAGTCACGGCATTTCAAAAATAAACGACTGCCCGCGTATGCAAAAAAATTAGTCATCGTCCATGAAGATTAGGCCATGTGGTCCATTTGGTTGTAATTTCACAGGACAACTTTTCTTTATCTGCTCAAAATGTATAATGTGACGGAAATGCTTGCCGAAACTCATTTTTTTCGGGATTTTTTCTACTGCAGACTACCCACCGCGCAAAATTCCCCGTTATTATATTTAAACCATGTTATAGGACCTTTTCACAGTCAGTAACCCATCGCAATAGTGCCTCTAAATATCTAGTGCACTGTTTTGGGACAACCAATTTCCAGCTCATTACTTTGCCAGTCCCCTGATACTGTAAACTGAACAAGTTTTTCCAAGGTCAAACAACTCTTTTAGATTAGTAAACAATTGATGGCTGTTGTTGCTGGTCGTTCTCATTACCAGGTGAGCCTGCACAGTCCATCTGGGTCAAGACTTATTTAACCGGACTTTCAAGTCTGTTTGTCGTGTCACCAGCCAGTCCCGATGTACTGTTTTTGACTTCCACCTCGGATTTCCAAAGTTAGTAAGTTGTTGGAGACGACATAGACTAGGTAGTTGAATACGGGTAATTTTCTCAGCCTAGTTGCCACTATTGCATATTACTTCTAGTTGTCACTATAACGTCCATCAAGATTTAAAGAAAAGTTCCATCTCACATGCGTTTATTCCCTAGCTCCTACGTTCAGCCACAGTGGGTATTTGACTCCCTTAATGCTGGTCGATTATTACCAGCGCAGGACTACCTGCCCTCTGCCACCCTGCCTCCGCATCTCAGTCCTTTTGCCCACTTGGCTGTGGATCCGAAGGCGGGCCTAGCCGATGCCATCAAACAGGCGGCCACCGTTGCCCCAGCGCCCGGTTTCGGCACTGGCTCGGCAATGTACCGACCGCCAGAAGCCGACTACCTTGCTGGGCTTGTTAGTCTTGCTGAGATCCGAGGTGCAGCGGTTGCTGCAAGTCGAGGCGACTCTGGCGGAAACGAAGATGAACAAGAGAATGAGGAGCAACAAGGGGCTGAAATGGATGTGGAAGGCGACACCCCGGCCAAAAAGGCGAAGAAACGAAAGAGAATGAGTGTACAGAAGGCCTTGGCCAAAGGTTAGGATCTTGGTATTTTAATTTCTACCGACCGACCTGACGCCTTCCCCTTGATAGTTAGATATCCTGGACGCCGTGTCCTGCTTCAGTCTTTTGCGGCGATATGCCGTGATCACCACCACAGTTGAAAGTCTGAAAGACGTAGCGTAGAATCCTGACGAAGTATAATTCTCCACTGCGAGTTTGTTTAGCGTGCAAATCGTAAAAATCCATAGGTTCTGTGGCACGAAGCTTCGTGCAAATCAAATTTAAGGTCAACTGAAAACCCGTCAGACCTCAGCAACTAGTAATCTCAGCCGCCAGCTGATTATCAATCACGACTTTGCACCATTATCTGCTTTAAATTCAGAGGCAAATTTGTCCCAGCGCCGGAACTCTACTTTTATTACAATTTCCTTTTGAGACCCCATGGACTATGGGCACTAGGACTGAAAGGACTGGCAAGAACATGATTTCGGACAGAAGTAACTTATTTGAAGTGTTTCTTGAAAGGTAACTGCTCTGCACAAAGATGTGTTTACCAGTAACTGCCCATTCCAATATCTTTGCAATTCTTCGACATTGGTCCTGGTCTTAGCTTTTGTGGGAGAACAGACTAGGTAGATCTATTTGGCATCCAAGCACACAAGCTCTGAATATACCGGGCTCAGAGACGGGCGACCATCTACGTGGACTGAAGGCGCTCAGATAGTTAATAGCAGGGGTAGACCAACAAAAACGTACTTTGGGATGTGGTTGGCTGAAGAGGACCTGAAGAAGCCCAACACGACAGCTGTTTTGATCTCCCAACCTGCCTCTGGTTTTGAATTAGTTTTGTTCCACTTGGATGATTTGCTTGTCGGCTAAGTGGACAACCCCTTGTTTATGTTCTGTGCTTAGGCAAGAAGGCCGTTGTCCTCCCTGGCCGAACTGAGAGTGCCCTCTCCCTCAAAATGGCCGCCAAGGCAGAGGAAAATGCGCAGCGAAAACTGCGAGAACTTATGCTCCCAAAGAGACACAAGAACTTATACAGAAAAATGGTCCACGCACAGAAGACAGCCAACAAAGATGTGAACCAGTTGACGGAAAGAAGGAAAGCAATTGACACGTAGGTTGCCCCCATATTTCATCATCCTGCTCGTTATTTTGGACGTACGTTTACCGATCAGGCTAGGGGACATGCTCGTCCCGTTGTGCCTTGCGGCCCAGTCTAGAGCCTTCACGGGCAGTTGCACAGCGATAAGAGTTTATGACGAACGGTATCGAAAAAGGCAAGGGAGACCGGGACGACAATTTCTAGCCTATCGACCGTCGTCAGCCGGCCGTACCCGAGGAGTGGCCACCCTAGTATCTCTTGTCTTTGTCGGCACTCCCTGACATATGATGCTGGTCGCTGTGTGACTGCCCGTGAGGGCCCTAGATTGAGTCCCAAGGCACGACGGGACGAGCATGTCCCCTAGCCTGATCGGCGAACGCACATCCAACAAAGTCGATCAAGATTGGAAGCACAAAGGACCTCTGACTCTGACTCGTCGACCAACAAACACGTACTCGAATCTCAGGTCATGCAAAGTTGGGATTGGGGAAGGCTGGCTAACGATAGCTATTAAGCCAGTAATGGTTATTCCAGTCTCGCTTGTCTTTGTCTTGGTACTCCTCATCTGCATAGCTCACTCATGTTTACATTTCAAAATTGCCCGTTATCTACGAATGCATTAAGCTAACGCACTCATACGAGTTGAATATTCAGGACGTCTTTGGTAACGTCCTGCCCTGCGATGTGCGTGCTATCAGGTTGTCTACTTTCGAAATCTCGTTAAGAATCTGGCAACTCAGAAAATTTGGGGTCTGTTACGAGTCACAAGTGTCACTGTTTTCTCTTACGTGCCTCATGTAGTTAACTAACGGTAGGGTGGTCATCTAGCTCCTTAAAATGGCATACTATGCCAGCTCTCGGTGAAGGGTCTAATACTCTGTTTTAAGTCGGCTTCGTTTGCGTTTAGGGACCATCACACGCCTGGTATGGACAGACGCAGATCCACCTTCCCTTGCCACTGCACCCCTGCCCATCCCCGGCCATCTTGACTTAGTCGACACCAGAATACGATGGGCGGGGAGGTATTGAGGTGAATTGTTCTGAAGTCTACTTCACCAGAACCTAATTCACGCAAAGTCCGTAACTTCTATCACCCAACCTTCGTTGAACTTGATGGGCGAACCATTAAAATATGTCTTACAACTTTATCTGAGCTTCCGACACAGTAGACCTCCTTAGGGGCAATCAGCAGCTGGCTCTGATTTGCCTGCGTTCTGTTGACGCGCTTGAGGCAGCCCAGCCCCGATTAAGCAGCAGGGACTATTTATAGTGCAGGAGCACCTACTTGTCTTCCAACACCTGGCACCTTTACATAGAAAAGACATGTCAAAGCTTCCGGAGATGGACCTGGGTGCAACTTATACGCGCACCACACACAAACCAGACTTCAAAGAGGGGTCTTGGGTCTTTTGCAGCAAGGCCCGCTTAAAAGAGGAGCCGTCGTAGTCTGATCTTTATTCTTCTGGGGTCTGAGCATTTCATTGTTCGTCAGTCTTCTTGGTTACCAGTGTACATTACATATAATCTCTTACTCATCCGACGCGACCAAAGGTCTGTCCTTGAAACGTGACCTCGGCACCTTGCTACTCATAGTGTTTTTCAAGAAGATTCTATCGCTGGAGCAAAAAGTTTATTGGCCTGACGTTTCGGATCCTCACTCGAAGTCATTATCAGAGACAATCACAGACAAGGTTGACGTCAGACCGATAAACTTCTTGTTCCAGCGATCTCATCTTCTGAGGTGTCTCCCGGAACTGGCCTATTCGTCCCTATCATGTTGTTTTGTCTACTACTGACCGCAGGGTCGAGCGAAAAACATGGGCGTTTGTTGGATTGTGAGGCTCTCGTTCTTGAGATCCTCTGAGAGGGTTTAAATTGTTCATATTAGATGAAATACGGGTAATTAGACGAACATGACTCACGGAACTCCCGTGGAAGAATCAAAGTGGGGTCGCGGGCAGGGTAGCCGAAGAGTCACTGGAAGTCAATGAGGTGCGTCTTTCCATCGCCTGACGTTTCGGATGTCGGTCTACCGTTCGTTGTCAAAGACCGTACACGGATAGCAAATCGACGTCATAGGACAGCAGGGATTGGCCATGATACCTGGGATGCTATTCCCTTTGTCACCGTCTCAACAGTGGGTTTTGTACGCCGCGTAACCACCACAGTTTCAGTAAGAGAAAGGAAGACAAGTTGGCGCAGAATGACATTCTGAAGCAACTAGCATGCAATTATCAAGTCACCACCCCTCAGAACTTCAAATGACAAACGTCGACGCTTTTATCGGCCAACACATCCGGCCCATTATCATAAACATGGTAACGGCTATGCCGTGGGAACAGTGCTGACCACCTCGAAAAACCATTGAGAAAACCTGTGTAACAACTAAGATGGTCGGTCCCGAGTATCTAGGTCTTCGTCGGCGGGCAGTAGACTCAACTATCTGAAATGTCAAACTGTAAATAAGCGTATCCCAGTGACATCTGAGATCTTAGCACGGAAAGGGCCTGGTTATGGTGATTACCGGAGTCGAGGATCTGGGTCATGCGGATTACAGGCGGTCGTCAATTACAGCTGTCCAAGGACACCATGATGATACCTTAAGTGCGAAGGCCTGTGAAACGTGTACCAAAGTTTTTCAAAATGAGCGACCACTTAGACGATATTACAGCTTTACCTAATGTGTAAGTTGATGTTAACGCAAACGGCAATGTACCGACCGTTCATTCCCGGCTTTTAAAGCCACCTGCTTTAATCCTACGTTCTTTTGTGTAGGATAATATCTGTAGTTCTTTAATGCATTTCTGTTCGTGTAACGGACGGCCACTCCGTACTAATCTGTGAAGAAATATGGAATAGTTTTCAGGGCGCTTGCGTAAAACGTGCTTTTGAGGCCCTAGGACCTGGTGGAAACGCAGATTGTTTCCGAATATGCCTATTTTACCGCCATTCAGCAAGAAATACTCCGTGCACGCACATATCGGATTTCAAGAAGACCTACAGTAAATGTGTTATCTCGTGAAGTGTCAGCTGATATTCTGAAGTGCGGTTTCAATTTTAAAAGGTTACCTTAGTAGAGTTGTAATATAAATTATCGCGTGGCATAATACCAAGATATTCCAGTCACGTCAGGATGCCGATCGAGCTCATTATCGACTGCCTGCGCAGACCGTGTTCCGTAAAAAATAACTTCCTAAGTAGCATAAATATTTCCCATTGATTTCCGATGCCCGTGTTAATTCAAACATAGTTTATAGAAGACACGTACAAAAATATTCTTCCTTTTGCTCATTTGGTAGTAAGTTACGTATTCTTTAAATGCTATACCCGGCTATGAGATTTTTCAGGACCGCAAAGTGTTCAATCGTACGGCATCACATCAACACATTTGTTAATGCTGCTTATACAGTTGACAACATGGTCAACATCCATTACGAAAGTTTACGAGCAATATATGTGCTCTTTTAGTAGCTTATAGAAATATATGGTTTTCTTTGCACGAAAAGTATGCAGCTTGTAGTTCGGGAACCCTGAAGGCGAGTGTAACGGCAGGTTAATTATTCACGAACTAAGAAAGCTTTTAAGATCGAAATATACTCTTTCTTCAGGCGTGGAATTTAAAGACGTATTTTGATACCAAAAGAGTAAAAGAAAGAATACTTTTGTAACCTTTTCTTTAAAATATATCTGAATATATAGGGGTATTTAAATCAATATTAAAAATTCATGCTAATTACGTGCTCATTTCTTACGGAGTATAGTTTACGTAAGCGGTCGATAAGGTCATTCGAAAGCCGGCATAATAACGGGACTGAGATATCTTTTTATGATGCGATATGATTATTAATATTACAGCCCTACTTAGGTAATCTTTTGAAGCTGAATTTCAGTCAATATTCAATGAGATATCATATCTGCTATAGTTCCTTGTAGATGGCCATGATGGTTCGAAATACTATGTATTATTTATTGTCAGTACAACTCAGTTAAGATTTTATATTTTTCGGCATGTTTGATCCCCTTTGCATCCGAATAGCGAATGGTCGAAAGGCACCCTTCTCATCGGAATAGTCCCATCCAAGCTGGACCGATTGAACAGACGGCCGTAGAGGTATAATGAAAAGTCACAGCCAAAGTACTGTAAGACAGAACCGACCTTCAGGCTGAAGTAGACGTAGTTCTTTAAACCATTGGCTAGAAACCGTTTAACACTAAATTGTAAAATGTTTCATGGCTATTTACGCGCGACTTTTGCATTTTTTGATTTTAACAGCGCATTGAGGGGCAGCATGAACTGTGGAGGAATTTCGCCCCGTTCTGTTGTTTTGGTGTAAATGGGCCCCCTACAATTGATAAATCTTGTTAATATCCAGGTTAAATTAGCCTTATAATTTATTGTTTAGTATCGGGAAATTTTGTCTGTTCTCTCTTGACAGTTTTGACATTTCTCTTTTAGGGGGAAAAAGACATCGAAGAAGACCAAATAATTTTTATTTGGCTCCACAGTACATGTATTTTCTCTTGCAAATATATCTTTTTACCATTCGATGCTCTGTATGAGTTCGTCCATTTGTTTTGCTGAGGCTGTTAGCAGATCCTTTTCGTCGTCGCTGAGTTGTTGAAAGAGGAT